CGGCCTTTGCGATGGCCGACACTGCCTCCCCGCAAGCTGCCAGCCGCGCAGGAGGCACACTTACGCCCCAACGTGTTAAGCTTCAGAAAACAGCCCATAGTAATTAATGTTCCCCTCCAAAACGGATGGGCTCTACCCCCAATTCGATGATTATTCCGTTGTTCAAAATGTCTTCGACTCCTGTTTGGAATCGCCGTCCAGATTTGTAGGGGCAACGCCGTAGAGACTTTCATTTGAGTTGAACTCGATTTCATCTGTGCAGGGTAGTTTTGTAGACGACACTGTGCGGTGGGGAGCCGGTGGGGGAGAGGATATCGCAGGTGAGTGTGGTGGATGGAGAGCTGGGGGCAGAGGACAGAGGTGAGGACCCCTAGGGGCAGGGGGGCTGTCTCCCCGGGAAGGTTGATCTGGCACTTGGGGGCCAGAAGCAGTTTTGTCTGGCAGAGACACGGCATTTTTTCATAGGCCAGCCCCCTCGATCACACACAGCTGCTGGCACTAACTTTGCCTCCCACACTGCTGACCCGGATCTGGTTCTCTGAACATACCAGGCCACTTTGCAACTCCGGCTCTTTGCACAGGCTGTTCCCGGCAAAGGAGCTGCCCTCTGTCTCCTCGTCTGCTAGGCGCACCTGCCGTTTGGCTTTCAACACTGGACTCAGGAGCCTCTCTCCAAGAAGAAGCCTCCCCCACCTCTGGCCGTCTAATGACCAGGGCCGGAGAGGGGGGTCATCACTGAGATGACCAGGTCCTCTGCACCTGTGACCTTGGCTGACCTTCACAGGTCTCCTGTGACACCGTATTAGCTCCCCATGCTACAGACCTGGAAACTAGCCACAGCTGCTGGGGGCGCCGAGCTGAGAGACAAACAAACCCAGTCCGCCCGGAGCCAAGCCTGGCTGCGCACCTATCCTGCACAGGTCATACTCTGCTGTCATTTATGAGTTTGGAAGGCAGCCACCGCTGTTCTGGGAACTCCTGAGCCTGGTACCTGTAGTGGATAGTGGCTCAGCTCACGGTCGGCTGCGTTAAGTTGGGAGAGAGAGTGGCATGGTTCATTTGGAGCTGGCTGGGGGTGGCTGAAGCGGCAAGCCCTTCCCGTGGCCGTTGACAGCCTCAGAGGATTGGAGGGGTCTTCTTGGCCCACGAGTGTCTCTCCTGGCCAGGAGCAGTTCTGGATGAAAGTAAAGCCCCGGGCCATCGTAGCTGACGCCCTCCGCACTCCCCACTCACCGTCCAGTGGACTCTGTCCAACTCCTCTGTCCTATCAGCCCAGGACTCCCCTCCTCCCACCAGACAGTCGCCGTCACCTGCTCTTTATGTGTTCTGTACTTCATACAAAAGCACTTTTGATCAAGTTACAAATGTGACAACACTCTAAAAGCGTTCTGGAATTTAATCAAATAACTTTGGAAATCATACTTAAAGAGGAATTTGAGGGCTTTATAAGGAAATCAAAAAAAGTTTTTATTTTCTGATCAGGTTTACTGAAGAAATGTGAAACTCTGTAAATTCCAGAGAGAGTAGGAGAAAAACTACAAGTCAGATGAATGCCCCACGGTATTTCCATCCTTCATAACCTTTCTGCTCCTGGTCGGCTAGACCACTTAACCCTTTCATCCCCACCTCTCCTCCACGAGGCGCCTGAAAGGTCCCAGGGGAGCCTGAGTCAGCTTTCTTACCAGGGGTGATATGGAAGCAATTCTAAGCAGACAGTGAGTGACTCAGAGGGTCCAGGTGCTTTCAACACTCAGTTCTTGACCCCAAGCCTTGGAATTAGAAGGATGGCATTTTGCCAACACTGTGTTAACGTTAAATACGTTAAAGGTGACTGCAGCATGGAGCGTGCTTGAAACAGTGGTGCGGGTGTTTGTTAACGCAGCTTCATTACAGGTGTCTGTTTTCCAAAGACAAAAAGGCTGCCCCAGCAACAGGAGGGCATCCCCAGGCTCCGGGGTCAGATTCACGACCGGCACAGGACTCCGTTGCTTGAATCCTAGCGTTTGGCAAGTGTGACACATCCACCGCCCAGCATGATACACGGAGATGGAAAGGCCACAAAGGCAGAAAGGGCTCCCAGGAGACTCCCA